TTTTGTCCTGTTTTATCTATCCATTTACAGGATTCAATTTACTAATACTACGAGTTTACTGTATATATATATATATATACGGTATAAATATAAAAAAAAACAATGGCTATGCCTATAATGGAAATCGATTTTAATGTTCTATTTGTCCATCAACTCAGTTGATTGAGTATAAGTATAAATTAGTAATGTGTTTTAGTGGAAAGAAAAATGTAGTAGAATTGTATGTTTGTAAATTTATTTATCAATTAGATATACGAATGGGTTGATTATTAGAGTATAAACGTCAGAGGAGAAAATAGTTTAGTAATATGGTCACTTTGTGTTTCCTATTATTGATAATTAAAAAAAACAACATAAGTTTCTCTTAATAGGTTTTATTATTTGATAATTCTTAGTTATCATTTAATATAAAGTAATAAGAAAAGGTTAACTAAGTGGTTAATTATGATGAAGTAAAGTTTGTGTACTAGTGAATTCCTTAGCATTCATGATATATAGACATTACTGTTTGTACACTTTTTTCATCAGTGACATGTACAGTATACTTTATCTGACAACTTATTCAAAAGTAGTATATTTTATTGAATATAAATATTCAGAAAATAGTTACGTCATAAGATGTCGAAGAAATAGTATTTCCGGTAATCAAGACCATGACGAGATATCTATGAATTAACGTATGTGTATAGAAAAAATGGTTGGAAACAGAATCCCTTTTATGGTTGAAAACCAGGAATAAGCTTGTGAAGACCATTAAAGATTGGAAAAACGATGTTCAGTCCTAAGTGAAGTAAACGTAAAAATTCAATAATCTCTACAACCCTTTACACTAACAAATATTTATCAATATATAATGTCTAGTTAGAAAATACCTAGGTCTTACACTAATCTAATGGATATTTCCCGCTGTAAAATGTAGAATGTTCCTGTAAACTATATCCCTACATTTTTATTCATCATCTTAACTATAAACTTTCTAGTCTACTTCATTCATTCCTATAACCAAATCTAAAATTCATTAGAACTAATACAACAGCCAATCAAACTACAAAATAACGGAATAGATATCTTCTTGAAATGATTGAATAAACCGGTTTATTTTGGCAAAAGAATTCATCTAACAAACCAATCTTAAAAATATAATAAAAAACAGTTGTTCCGTGACTAGTTTTCTGTCAATAATTAGAAGACCATGTGGAATGAATATCCAATGAAGTGAGAATAATTTATTTGACTGACAGTTTAAAAAAAAAGGAAGAAACAATTAGATTAAATACACTACAATTTGTAATAAGTTCTTTTATAGTTGAATAAAGAAAAAAAAGTTGCCTATGGTACTATGACAGCTATTTTTTTCAAATTATATATAAATCCACATATAAATCAGGTTTTTAGAAAGGTTAAACAATATCAATTGTTTATACTGGTTTTATGTGGATATTAGAAATATTATAGTTAAATTCATGAGTCAATTGAAGATAGATCATCATGAAAAACCTGGAAGCACTGGACGGCTGTTTTGTCTTTGTATGAGACTCCTCAGAAGTTTGGATCTACGATCCCGCCTCACGAGATTCAAACCCAGGATCAATCGATCTCGCGCTCAAACGCTTATTGTCTAGACCATTGATCTGGCAGGCATCCATTGGTGTTAATGTCTAAGTTCAATTAAGCCATAAAACTGAGCCACCATTCACAATTGTCTTCAGTGAATTATTAACTTAAAACAGACCTGGATGAGCTCCACTGGTCACTGCTTCTCACTAAAAATACCTCATGAAGCCAGGTACTAGTGAGCATACGATTATTATTATCAGGAGTCTCATACTAGGACAAAACGGCCGGCTAGTGCCTCAACGTCTTCCATGATGGTCTAGCTTCAATGGACTAATGAGTTCAACTATAAAATTACTAAAACCTCCACAAAACCCCTTCTGATATTAGAGATATGTTTTGAATCTATAAATTTATCACTTTGGTGTTATAACTATTATCGTTTAAAAATCCTCATCATATTGAAAGACTAATATTCGAACGAAAACTATTCTTTTTGATAAATTCTTTTCAAGTTCTACAATTATACATCCATATAATTAATCCGGAAAATGGCCGGCATTTTGTGCTAGCGAACACGTCCCAGTGTGGCTAAACAAAGGTTTGATGAAGAAAGTGAACAGCTGGATATTGGCCCATTTAGCACAAACTGGTCATACTGCCAGTATAAACCAATCTTTTTCAATTATTTGTAAGGTCAGTAAATTTTGCCAAAACATGTCAGACTCAAAAGTCCTTCAAACGACTAAAGCAGTAGCCATCCGGATGAAGAAACTGGAGCTATGCATACAAAAGAAATGTCTTCAACCACTCCTCCTCTCATGGTCAATCACAAGGCCAATTAATCAATAGTAATGTTAGCCATGGATGACCTAATTTGACTGTTGTACTTACGAACTTTCGTAGTCAAATGTAATATGCTCTGTTATCTTTATTCATTGTATTCTTTGTATTATTATTATTATTGCTATTGATTAAACATCATTGTTAACCTCTCCAATACATGATTCATTCACTTCCCATCCATTCCTCCTTATTATGTCTTATTAATTTTTCACACAATATAGCCTTCCACTAAACATTTGATCGAATTGTAATTGCATTATTATTTTTATCACTAGATCTGACCCATATTTATTTTGATCATGGATCTTAAATCTCATTCAACATATATGCAGATTTAAGTTAACATTCCATTTAAGTCATATTAACATTAACAATTTTATTGTATTTTGTTTGACAACCCTAAATTCACATGGTTTAAATGATTCACTTTACCCTTAACCTGATCATTTTTCGGATTATTAATTTGGATGTATAACTGTAGAATCTGAAGAGAATTTCATCGAAAGGGATATTCTTCGTTCAATTATTAGTCTCATAATTATTAGGTTTAGCAAATTTAATTTGAGTGAAAAATAACAGTCGATTAGTAATTTCTTTCTATGCAATTTCATTTATTATTGTACTTGATATATAAGGTGATTTCATTATTGACTTACGTTAACAAAAAAAGGTAATTACGGCATCATTTTACAAATGTTTCATTTCCTCTACTTTAAAGCTTCTTTCAAATTCTAAATAAATTAGTAAAGAAACTAGTTTATTACAATTTATCGGATCATTTCATTTGCAGAGATGACCTGGTATTTGATGTAACAACTTTACTCCTGATCCAACCACTTGTTAAACATTTGCTTGTGAAAAATTTAAGAAAATGGGATTAGTATAAATGTTTTAATAAGTCTATAAGAATGACAATGAATGCAATGGGTAGTAGCCTGAATATTCACATAAGGATTTTGTAAGTATTAAGGATCACATGTTTACAATCTTGGTATTGTGATTTTTAGAGATCAGAAAAATGACTGAGTAGTCTTTTCTTAATCTAATTTCTTTTAACTATTTACTAAACTTGTTAAAAATACCATGTGTACATATTCTGGTGATCTAAATGTAAGTATGGTAACACCACACATTATTACAGTCAAAGGTATATTACTGAACATGACCTTGTGAGTGATGAACTTAACTTATATGATAATCCCCAACAAGTAAGTATTTCAGTTAATATAATCTAAATGAATACCGATACTAAGTAAGCTAATTAGGCTATCGGATAAAACTTATGTTTTATCATGACTTTTCTCATTTTTCTGATAAGGATTATAATTACATCTATTGTAAAGTCCAACAGTTCATTAGTAAAGTGTAATATATATGGAAAGTTGCTTTCTCATTTTCTCCTTACATTTTCTCTAGTTTTATTGACTTCCGTTGCCAATTTTTACAATTAACTAATCTGAAGTAATAAATTTATTGAATTTAGTTTAATATTTATTAAGATTATTTCATCATTTCCTGTTATTCATAAGATTGTATTCTACTATTGAAAAGAAGTCATTGTTTATAACTTTGGTAATCAGAAAGAAAAATAAAGTTTATTTCCTTCATTTTTATAATCCACTATATATTCATATACATACTTATAATTAACTCCTAGACGAAATGACTGACAGTATAGATGTTTCCATTAAAAAAACAAGAGGTAATAATAATCATTTTCATCAAGATACTCATAATTAATTAGTAATATTTTGAATACCGAAAATTCCTCTGAGCAATTAATTATTCATATTTGTTAAGGTCAGATATAAATGAAAAACATTGAAAATGTAATGAATGACATTATCTTATCTAAAGTATTTTAGATGGGTCAACGAATATAGTACGATGAATAGGAAGAAGAAGAAGATACACCCCTTTCTTTCTTATTATTTTTTATAATCATTAGACTACAAAACAAAAACTAGTGGGGAGAAATGTTTATTGGACAACTTTTTTCCCCATCAGTTATTGTAATTTAAACCAAATTCGTTGCAAAAATAATCAAATATTAAGTCATGAAAGTAATGATATGGTTAGTTACATCAATTCCAGAGATTCCAGAGAATAAACATAACGGTATTACGTAGTATATCTCTCAAAAGTAACTGTGTATATAAAGTTCCCATAATATCCTTGTAAAAGATCTATAAAATTCAGGTGGATCTCAGACATATTTAGGTGTGAGATCATCTAGCTTATCACTTGTGTTTAAAGTTTAGAACTAATCACAGATACAGGTACGGATCAACCTAACATTGTGATTTATAGTTTTCATACTTTTATATGGAACTAACTTAAGTCACAAAAAACATTATCATAGGCCAAATACGAAGTTTATATTGTCATTTTGAACAGCACTATCAGTCTTTGCTTTCACACGGTAGGAATACTCTAGATAGACAACAATATTCAGGTTAAAACGAATCCTTATTATTATTAAAATAGACAATATAGTGCAATCAGTTATGAGGTAATGTGATTCATGTTTAGAATTTTGATTTAAAACGAGATTTAAAAACAAAAAACAACGACGCAGTAAAAACAGAAGGAAGACTTACGCAATTCTTTCGTTATGAAAGTTACTTTATTACTTGGGTCAGACATTCCCAATAGATTACTGACGGCACAAACCTCTACCATATACATTGTATATGGTTTTAAATCAGTTAATTTATATTGTAATGCACCATGTAGGTGAAATTGTCTTGCTGGAATATCTGTTAATTGTTTTTTATTTGTGATTGTTTGTCCATTCTCCATTTCATATAAAAATACTGTATATGAATCAACAGTACGTGTAGTAGTCGTAGTGGTTTGTTGAATATCAGCTGATTGTTTAGCTGGTGACCACTGGAGAAAAGCAAATGTTGGCCCTTTTTCTAAACACATTAAATCGATAGGCGGTGGAGGAACTTCTGTAAGTTAAACAGAAAAAAATGCAGTTGTAATTCTAATGATAAAGATTTATAGAATGATTCGCATAATTGTTTAACTCATTAATCTACTGAAGTACATATTAAATATGAAAGCGAATTTCAGTTCAAGAACACACAACTTTAGGTGAAGTAAGCTGATTTTACTCTATTGACAGTTGACCAGTTTTGTAAATATAGTTAATTAAATATCCATTGGAAAGATGAGACACTAATTACTGATAACTACAGATAAAAAAATAATATCTGATTGTATTGTGATAAAATTATCTACAATAAACTTAAATGTCACTTATTAACTTCCGTGAATGATCATATAACGTTGCTTTAGTCGACAGCTTTTAAATAGACCATTGATGAAAATTATATGTGCTTTTAGTGTGAAACTGCTTAATTTCTATGAAAATCTACTTGATCAAAAGTACAGAAAATCGATTACAAAACGAAGTGGAGAAAGAATGAATTACATGCTGAATTTTTTGAGTCAACCGTTTAATGAAGTAAGAGGAACAAGTCAAAAATAATAAGTATGAACAACAAAAGTAGAAGAATAAAGGAATTCGAAAAAGATCTAACAAATGATAAAACCACTGTTGTTCAATTTAAAATGACATTTAAAAAAAATTTATGTTAGTCAATAATAAATGTTTAAAGAAGATTAGTTTAAGAGCGATTTATCATTATATGAACTTATATAATACCACGATCCATAATCTTATGGAGAACTGATGTAAACCAGTTGTTTTTAAAGAGTACTTCTATAGTGTATGTATCCAGTTTTACACAGTATTAAACTAAACAACTTTATTTTTGTAACAATCCTATTGCATTCAGTCATAGAATACTACTTCTTTGTGGTATATCCAGATGAGAATTATGAATGGTAACTTTTGAGAAATATTTATGAATCAATATGATACATATATTTTATTGTGTAACCGTTAAGGTGCTGAAATATGCATACTCATGTTCCTCGTTTTATGAGCTTTATCTTGACCCACATATTATTATTATTATACGATTTACCATTCTTAAGTTATGCCCAGTCTATTAATTACTACTTCCTACATTCACAGCCACTTTGAGCTAGATCTTGTACAAATGTTATTTTCTATTTTATGGTAAGATGCAGGCTGTTTGATTTTTAGAAAAACCTAATATGTTTGAGATACATGATTCATATCGCGGAGGCTGAGTTTGGTGTTCTGGACTCAACAGGCAGGGTTAGACATGAAAAAGGACCGATAAATACTTTAGAGTACTCCTACAGGTTTTTGCGTCATTGATCTGGTCGATAAGCCACTGTTCTCTAATTGACGATATCATTACATTATATGTTGATACGGTACAAAACCACAAGTTATAACACTTTATTATTAGACTTTTTACTGTGATTCAAGAAAATCTCTGTTAAAATCTATCTTTTACCTAATCAATAGTGATTATGATAAAAAAAGATCGATGAAAGATTTTCTTCTAATCTGAAACAAAATTTTTACTGAACTATATACAAACTCGACTATAAATAAAGATATAAATCATGACATTATATTCCAATAGATCTAGTACTCTCAGACGAAACGGTCGTCCAGTGCTTCCAGGTTTTCCATGGTGGTCTAGCTTCAATAGACTCATGATTTCAATCAGTGATATATATACACTTCCTAATTTTCGTTGGCTCTCCATTTTAGTGTTAATTTGTTGTTGTTGTTTTATCTTTTTTCATTATTGAAATTTAATCAACTAGACTTAAATAGAATAGAAGCTTCAAAATAAGTCAATTTAGATTTTATTCTGCTTAGTGAAATCTTATTTGTTTGTTTTCTCGTTGTTTTTTTTATTTTTAAAAGAAACTCTTTTCAATAAAATCTAGTTCATTTAACCATAACTAATCTGTTTATATTAAAATGTTCACTTATCTAACTGTTTTAAAAATTAATAAGAGAATTATATAGAAATAATAGAATTCAATAACAGAAGATAAAATTGGGTTTTTTGTGTTTTTTTTTCTATATTCGAAAAAAAGAATAACATTTTTGATATTTGACATTATTTTAAATATTTTTTATTTCAATAGTTGAGATCATGAGTCAATTGAAGATAGACCACCATGGAAAATCTGGAATCACTGGACGACCGTTTCGTCCTACTGCGGGACTCCTCAGCAGTGCGCATCTATGACCCCGCCCCGCTGGATTTGAATCCAGGACCTGTCACTCTCGCTCCAGGAGCTTACCCAACTAGACTACTGAGCCGGCATCCAACGGTGTTAATGTCTAACTTCAACTAATCCACGAAATGTTTTATTTGTTTATTATTAATCTTTCTTTCCTATGAAATGTTTATCTAATTTTTTGTTTATTTGTTTTTGATCGAGATCATGAACCGATTGGTGTTAGACCACCATTAAAAACTTGGAAGCACTAGATGGCCGTTTCGTTCTATTGTGGGACTCCTCAACAGTGCGCATCCACCATCCCTCCCAGAGGGATTTGAACCCAGGGTCTTCGGTTGGTTGATTGAATTGAATTATTATTACCTAATTATTTATCATTAACTTATTTGAAGAATTCGTTATTGAAATTTCTAATTAAAGTATGTGATTTAGGATATCAACTGATTTAGAAATGAATATTAATATTCATTGATCATATGAAAGATATTAATAATATTGGGTGAAAGTCAGGGAGTAATCAATACTACATTAGATATTAGAAAAAAACTCAGAACATTTCTGTTTAGTTTTATTTCCGTTAGTTCAATACCATTAATGTCCAGTATAGTGATAATTGTTTCTTAATTTAGCCAGTTTTCAGTATAACAAGAAGATCTGTAAGTGTTATTGGTGATAAATGTTTCTTTTTCCAACATTTTTTAACTATCCACAATCATTTCAAGGATTGATCTTGAGGGAACTGTTTTCCACCATTGATCTTTGATGGGATTATTGACATAAAATTTTGAGGAGTCCAAGGATACAATGAAACAACCTTCTAATGCTGAGTTGATCTGAATAGTTTATGAAGTGTAGTTAGTCAGCGATAAAAACTACCATTAAATACTTCGTGTAAATATATATATACCCAATAATTCGTCAATTGTTTTAACAGAGTATCTAAATTAACTTCGTTAGAATTTGTATTCTGCACTCATTTCAAGGTATATCTTGCAGATTCATATCGTGATATTTTTGAAACTCTTGGTTCGGGTTTAAAAATATGGAGATAGTCCTGTATTAGCGTATTTTAATTTGACTGACGTTGAATCATACCATATTATGTGTCCTTAAAGTAGCCATATTAGCACAACTAATGACAATCACATAATTTTCACTGTCAATGTGCATCAAGTTTCTTGATCTAAAATATGGTAAAATAATCTCTTCTTTAGATGGAAACTTCTGTAGGGTTCCATTATAGAACGATACAATTGTTCTAGTCCGTCCTGATTTTCAATGGTTTTTAGGTTGAACTCACTCCGTTTAACTTTCCATAACCTGTTCATCATCACAACTTCTTAGGATTTTATTCTGACTTTTGCCCGTAGAGGTTGATTCCTCTCCATTCGATGTCCCGTTAATTGAGTATTTTAGCTGGTCAATTCTCCTACTATCAATTTTTTTTGAGAATACTGGAAAACCAGAACGCTAGTTGTTGGGAGATTTTATTGTTATCAGTTGATAAAATCCACATGCATGAGAGAGGAAAGCACAGTAGAAAGTGAATGAATAAGTGTATGGCTAACCCTATTCATCACATATTTTTGATTTGTTTTTGTGTGGCTATAAATATTAGTTCACGCTTTGTTATAATGAGTCGACTTGCACACCTTCTACACTTCTCTTCGCTTTCTCATTTTCCATCCAAAATGTGTGCTTGAAGTGACCTCATCAGACACAACCTATATATGGCTTCTTATTACTACCCTCACACAAACGTGGTTAGCCTAGGTAGTATACGTGGTTAAATAGAAGATCTATGTTCATAGCATATTCATTCGTTCATACGAAACGGAGTCAGATTACAGAGACGTAAAAGCCACTCAAAATTCTAAATTGAGGTTATGTTCACAAAATCAATTTATTGGTCCCTCATTTATTCATGTTCACGTTTATTTATAACCGTTGTAAATTACTGATCAACATTCATTATATTAGTATTACAGGCAGTTCACTTCTGGGCTTTAATCATACATATCTATAGGAACGTATACTTATAAAAATAGACGTTTTAATTAACATTATTAGCAGAGATGAATCAAGGCTAGCAGTGGAATCTAGGACACGCGTTTTTTCTTAGTTGGAACTCGTTAGCTGGATGTACCAGCATGTCTAATCATCATTGAGAAAATCCAAACAACCTTTGAATATTATTCGACAATAGGTTGCTAACGATTGCTAAACTTTAGCAGATTAAATATTAAGCTTATGTGTAAGAAGGGAATTTACTTAAAACATTTTTAAGAAATGTTTTCTCATTCGTCACGTATATAAATTATACAGACGTGCCCTAAACATATTTCTAAATTTTAGTTACTGGCTTTTAGGTATGACATCAAAATATGTCTTATCAAACAATAACAAAAGAACATACTTTATATACTGGGCTTACTATCAAATGAATCAAGTTAATTACATGATTATCAAGGAATTTAGCTACCATTTTGATGTTGATCAAAGGGTTAAGAAAATAGAATAGATGGGACTTGATTATAAAAATATAAAAAATATTTTTTGACACTGTATCCAAATTTATTTGTAAAGGGTATGTTGTAATTTAAATCAACTATGTAACTAGATTAACTGGTTAAACGTTTACATCAAAGTGTTATGGATTTCTCCGAATATAAGGCAGCTGCCGAAACAGATCATTAAATGAATTATTAAGTTGAAGAAAGTGGAATGATACCCTGTAATAAACAACAAGAAAACTCATACTTTATCAATTGAAGATCTTATGACTTTAATTCTGCTGCCAATCCAGCCAACAACAACTTTTACTTCATATGAAATTAAAATCACTCGAGATTGTACGGCAATATAACTTTATTATTAACAAGTACTTCGAATTTTGAATGTCACAGTTTTGAGAAAGTGATTATCAAAAGTCTACCTATTGTTTTACTATGACTAAAATTAATGTTTAATCAGAATGGGCATTTAGTGCTGTTAAAATACTTTTTTTAATTCATGGTTTTTAAATAATCGAGTCTTTTGGAATGAGTTGGTTTCCATCTACTGATTATAAGCTGCAATCAAGGGAGTGAAGTGAATATATTAAGTTCTCGAACCATTTCAGGTTTTTGAAACAAGTCATACATCCTACCTAACTACATGCAATCTACTTGATTTCTTTATATTAACATTTAAAGATTATCAAGTTCTCAGTGAATGTACACATTTTAACTCATTAATTAATAGAAAAGTTCATCGATCATTTGAAACATTAAACTACAGAAATCACTTATTCATTATACAGATATAGTTTTTGTTCCAAAAAAGGTTGATGCAAATGAATAGATTCTGTAAGTTTACAAATTTAAACTTCAGAATAGTACAATTCAATGTTCATTCTGATTATATCATATAAGTTAATAAATAAATTTTATTACTGATAGCCAATAACAATTAGTAAATGGTGAATTATTTATATAAATTAAGCATTTAAGTCAGCTATCATTTCATTACAATAGACAATGCATTTAAGTCATAGGAATTTATTCTTCCAACATTTAATGGTCTCAAGTAAAAGACAAATCTTTACCTGGAAAATATCTGACAGGTAAACTGCTGAAACTGTTGTTATACATTGAAATATTTTGGACTTTTCAACAGAAAATGTATGAGAAATGGTTATATCCACCTATGAGCATTGTTAGTAAAATATCTTAAAACTTTTATGGTCAATACGCAGAACAAATAAATTTAATATACAATAAAGATAACAGTAATTATTCTTATTGAGATAAATTTGACTTTAAACTAAATTATATAAACATTACTTACCGATTATTTGAATTCTAACAGGATGTTGTACAGTTCCTAAACTATTATTTGCTTCACAAATATATCTTGCAGGTTCTGTAATATCTGCTAGATATAATGTTGAAGTACCTTCAGTAAAATCTGTTATAGGTCGTTCACCATCAGTAAGCCATCTAGTAGTTGTTGTAGGATTTCCTGCTGCACGACAAGTTAAATTTGCATTATGTCCATAACGTACTCCAATTTGATCAATTTTATCAATTATTTTGGGTACAAAATAAGTATCTGTAACAAATAAAAAGCACACACACATAAATACAAACAAAAACAAAAATTACTAAGCAAATATTACTAACCATGTTTATTTGTTAAATTGTAAGTAGTTTGAATAAATATTGAAAAAAAAATAACTTTTTCATTAATAACTTATTATATGGGAATAAAGTCCTATCGAAACGTATGACATAATAATGTTATGCAAATATATATGAATAGATGGAATGATAAATATTATTAAAAAACGATTATCTCATTGAATAATAATGATAATGGCTGTATTTTATTAAAGGTGTAGAATGTTTTGTCTATGATAAAACAATAATTTCCATTTTAATGAAAAATAATAATTTTGAATTACCATGTTTGAATATGAATATTTGCAATGAGGATTGACAAAGGAAGGGTAGCATTCTTACAATTGAAGAACATATGGAACTCAGAATAACTTTCAACCAATATCAAAATCAGAATCTTCAAAACCAACGTCAAGACAGTCCTAATGTATGGAGTTGAAACTTGAAGAACTACTACAACCATCATCAAGAAAGTATAAGTATTTATAATTAGTTGTCTACGCAAGATACTCAACATCCATTGGCCAGATACCATCAGCAACAGCCTTCTGTGGGAGGGAACAAACCAGCTTCCAGTTGAAGAAGAAATTAGGAAACGACGATGGAAATGGATAGGAAATACATTACGCAAATCATCAAACTACATCACGAGGCAAACCCTAACTCAGAATGGTGAAGGGAAGCGGAAAAGAGGAAGGCCAAAGAACACATTACGTCGGGAAATCGAAGCAGATATAAGAACGATGAATAACAACTGGAAGGATCTGTAAAGGTTTGCCCAGGACAGGGTTGGATGGAGAATGCTGGTGAGCGGTCTATGCTCCTTCACGAGAAGTAACAGGCATAAGTAAGTAAGTAATAATATTTATGGTAAATTCACTATATGATTTTCATAGACAACTGCATCTCTGTGTTAATATGGTATGACAACTCGAACTGATGTACGTACGTATGGAGTTCAACAATATTACTGATTGACTGACTAACTATCTGAGAAGTAAACTTTTTAGACACTTTGTAATTGTTCATTCGATTTTTTTTTTGGGGTTCATGTTTGTGATTGGTCAATTTTATTATTAAACTATTGAATTCAGAGAACACAACACAATGAAAATGATTCATTTGAGTTATAAACTTTTTCTAAAGGAACTTAAAATAGTACAGTGAACACTTTGCTTTTTGAAAAATACCATACTGAGTTGCAATCCAAAGCTTAGAATTGACTTAAAGAAATCGAATTGATGATGCTAAAGTTAAGATTGATTATTATTTATCACTAAAATGTTATTATAACGATCATTGACCCAATAATCGAATGCACTAGCAGACATTTTTAAGCTTAATTTCTTTTTATAAATATCATTTGATTTCATATTACAAATTAATCATTAATTTTCACTAACGTTCATCATCAAAAGATTCTGTGAAGTTGGTATGTTATCATGATTACTTTGTAGATTATTCTGCTTTTGATATGAATTCCAAGTAAAATATATCTAAATGTGTTCATCACTACTTTCTCCCTGAATTGAATACTTGTCAATCTATGACTAAAAAAGAACGAAGTCGACAGTCCTAGGGATTACCTATTAGCAAATCAATGCGGCAAGTATAACTTATCACGGATATCCGATATCATTAAATGACGCTTAGTAGCTGAAGTAAAGAGGAATACATTTTTCTTTTACATATAAAGTTAAAATGATATACATTATGCTACTTTAATAAACTAGAATAAAGTAAATCATCTAATAAATAACATCGTTTAGAATTTCTTCTACGTTTTATTCAAAGGTGATCAAGTCAATGAATGAATAACATCTTAACTAAATATATACGATTAAGATTACTATCGACTTGTAAGTTGAACAACTATTAATGATATAAAACTTACTTTTAACTCTTAAATAAGCTTTTGAACTTAATACTGATCCAGCTTGATTAGTAACTAAACATTCATAATGTCCTTCATCTGATAATAATAGATGTTCAAATAATATTGAACCAGTCCCTTTAAAGTAGAAGAAAATTACAAAAAAATACTCTGTAGATAACAGTTAATCAACAATAATAATAATAACGTTAAAAAGAAGAATATTACATATTTCATTCATCTATTGTCATTCAACGTTTGTTTATATCTAAATAATAGAATAATATTAGTGTTTATAGAATTCAAGCTGAATTGGCAATAATCAAACATTTTGTTGGATAAATGTTATTTAGTATTCAGTTTACATGTATATTATGGACTTCATTTATACAATATGCATGAAACATACTTCCGTTAGTAATATATGTCTAGTAATTACATTTTACATTATGCATTTTGTGAAAGCAAAGTTAAAAAGTTACATCTACCTTAGAATTTGCTTAGTTCAACTTATGAAGTATAATGGAAAATAGAAATGATATATATTTCTTTCTTTATAAGAATAGGGTACTTCATTAAACTTCATAACTTTTGTAAATCTAAGTTGACTTGTAAAGTAGCAGCTTGTATACGCTTTTAATTTAACCTAACCCCTTTAAAATAAGTTTTTTCTTGATGTAACTATTGAATTATTCTAATGTCTCAGAGTAACCGTTTGATCGATAATATGACGTTGTAAGTATTTGGTGTCACAACTGTCGAAAAAAACAACTTGATCAATACGAAGACATAAACATTGAGAGGTTTTAACTTCATTATTCAATATTACTTACAAAAATAAAGCACTCAAAATTAAGTTAATTGAATTTTAAAATCCTGTTTTCTAAAATAAAATAAAACTGAACTCATTTCAAAGTATGTTAAACATTATGAAACTTAATACAGATTATTACAAAAATAATCTATGAAAAACACTTACTAGTATAGGAGTTGTGGAGATTATTAAGTTTTTGATTGAGATCATGAACTAATTGATGTTAGACCACCACCTTTGGGTACCTAGAAAAGGATTCTCGGAGTTCTAGTGAGAAGCCGTAACCAGTGGAGCTAATCCATGTCGGGTAGAGACAGGTATCTACCTCAGTACAACGGATGTTCGTCGCTCAATTTCGTGGATTGGTTGATGTTAGACACTATCAGCATTTGATGCCGGCTCAGTGGTCCAGAAGGTCAAACGTTCACGTGCGAGACCGAAGGCCCTGGGTTCGAATCCCGCGAGCGGGATTGTGGATGCGCACTGCTGAGGAGTCTCACAATAAAACGAAACGGCCGTTCAGTGCTTCCAGGTTTCCGAAGGTGGTCTAACATCAATTAGTTCATGATCTCAATGAAAAACAGTTCATTACATCTGGTGCTTATCTTGATTGCATCACAGATCAGAATGTATAATTAATTTCTCTCATGAAAAGTCTAGTACGACTCACTTTAAAAAGTGAATAATTACTCAAGGGATGACTTAAACAAACATTTATGTTTCTATATGTTTTTGCATTACGTGTGCTCTAAATATTGATTTGTATGCACTGTTTATATGTGTAATAGGCAACAAAAAACTGTGAAGAGTAAGTTTAAATAGTCCAGATTATTGGCAAAAATGTTAAGAGTAAATAAAGTGTACTTCACGGACACCATGGAAATTTTTATTGTAATTTAAATATATATGTATATATAATACAGATGAATATCCTTTGTGAACCTGCCTAATGAACTGGCACCAGAGGCAATAACATTACAAACCCACTTTTAGATACTAGGAAGTTATGAAAATAAAAAGTCAGTCCCACCAAAAAATAACTATTCTGTTTAGATGACTTGTAATACATATTCCATTTCTTGTAATCATGACTCTTCATCAGACACCACAAATTACAATTTTCATGACGCATATATATATATATATATAACATTCAGACGAAATCCGGAAGCCAGACAATTCATAGACCGTATCTATTGTTGCTATTATCTATGTAACAAATCATTAGAACAAGAATGTGACGTATGTCGGCAAAACGCAAAGCTTTGAAACTTTGTTATATATAATTTCTTTCAATAAAAGAAACTATCTCTGTGGTGAAACTTAATCATGTATAGCTAAATATTAAACAGGCTTTTTGTCATATTTTATTTGCATACATAGACACATTATATATATATATATATATATATATATATATATATATATATATATATATATATATATATATATATATATATATATATATATATATATATATATAAATGCTCCTTAAAAGATGGTAAATGTTTTATACACAAAACGTATGTAAGAAAACAGATGTAAGAAAAAGAGGCTAAATATGAAATTCTTTAGCCAACAAGATTTATAAGTATAACATTAACATAAATCTAAATTATGAAATTAATATAATGCTTGTTGTATTTTTTTATTAACCCTTGTGTAATTCTGGTTTTATCATATTATTAGCATGAATGGCTATGTAAGGCTAATTTTCCATGTCTAATCAAATAAGGAGATAAAAATGAATTTTTTGTGATGTTGAAAACACGTTTTCATGTGTAAATGATTGGATTCATAACAGACTTAAAAAGAGAAACTAACGAATAGAATCAGGGGTTAATTTTGATAATGAATTCATTGATAACTTGTTGTTATGCTCGCAATGATCTAAATTATGAATTAAACCTTAAGGGATATTTGAAATTCATCCTAGTTAAATCCTTAGAACTCCGTAGAGATAGGTTTGTCCGCTGGTTTGCAATTTTTAAAGCATGTATCTCCCGTGTTCAAAGAACTAATAACAACCTGTAACACGGTTTTTTTTCGCAGAGTATACTGGTTCCTTTAGGTATTCAGAAACACCACACTAACAAGCACCGAATGGTTTTTGACGTCAGTTCATTACTTCATGCCCATCTCCTACAACGATTTTAAATCCGAAAATAGTGAATGCGATCTACTTAGTTAGGCCAATGAACAGATTTGATCAGCTTTGAGCACTCAATAAACATAACGTTGATGACAACTCAGTAATCAGTTAGTTAAAATGAATGATTATCAATCTCATTTATGCACTACAATGAATATTCATTTCTGATTAGAGTAAGAGGAAAATTGACCCTTATTTTGATCTTTATGAGGTTGTTGTTTTTTGCTCTATTGAAAAACGACTATAGAACAACCATAATTTTCGACTGATCAGCTTTTCAGTAGTGTAAAACAAAATTGTCTCAACACAACTATTCTTTGGCTACTTTTTGATAAACTATCTTCTGTTTCTTCTTCACCAATGATATAAACCCATATAGTAATCTTTATTGAAAAGTATTATAAATTATTTTGACTGATATTTTTAGTTGTTTTGATTTCTAATTTCTCTATTTGTCTGTTATGGAATTGATCTTTGTTTAAAGAAATTTATTTCAGTAATCACTCTGACTAAGATAAACTACATCTTTATATGATTATCCAAAAAATCCTATGAAATATAATTTAAGAAGAGAATAAACCAAGGTACGTGTAATATTTATGGAACAATGACACTAATTTAATGAAAGCCATTGTTAAACGAATGTGCATCATTGAATATCCTTTCTCGAATGTTAATCGCTTTTTATTAGGAAAAAACAACGGAAACAAACAAATAAACAGACTTCCATTACATTTCAAAAAGCCAAAAGCAAATAATTCAATACGCGATCATAAAAAGCGGATTGCTTTTAGTGAGCTAAGTCATTTTAATTTATCAGCAAATGACAATAGTTTATTTTTTTTTAATGGTAGATTCTAACAAAATCACATCTGATGGCGAAACTCTGCAAGCGGTGGAAATTTTCACTTAACTGGGTAGCATCATCGATGAAAAAGGAGGATCTGATGCAGACATAGAGGTGAGGATTGGCAAAGCAAGGGTCACATTCCTACAATAGGAGAACATATGGAATTCAAAACAACTTTCAATCAATATCAAAGTCACAATCTTCAATATGGATGTCAAGACAGTAGTCCTAATGTATGGAGTTGAAACTTGAAGAACTACTACAACCATCATCAAGAAAGTACAAGTATTTATAATTAGTTGTCTACGCAAGATATTCAACATCCATTGGTCAGATGACATCAGCAACAGCCTTCTGTGGGAGGGAACAAACCAGGTTCTAGCTGAAGAGAAAATTAGGGAAAGACTTTTGAGGTAGATAGGAAATCACTTAACTGCATCATGAGACAAGCCCTAACTTGGAATCCTGAAGGGAAGCGGAAAAGAGGAAGGCCAAAGAACACTGCGTCGAGAATTGGAGTCAGATATGAAACGAATGAATAACAATTGAAGGCAACTTGATAAGATTGCCCAGGACAGAGTTCGATAGAGAGTGGTGGTTAGTAGCTTATGCTTCTCCACAAAGGGTAACAGGTGTAAGTAAGTAAGTTCAATTCAAACAAACTGTTTTAAATTGTTTTCTGTAAACTTAATAATGAAACTTAGATCTTGTTTCCACTGTTATTGATCAAATATTATGTTTAATTGTAATATCACTGAGTGACATTATCAGATGAATGAAAGCTAAATATATATATCTCCGCGTTTTTTCACACATCATTTAGTTACAGTTACTGTTAGTTAACCAGAATCAAAAATGTTCATATTTGAGTAGATTTCTTAGTATTTTATGATATCGTACTAGGTAACTTCTTTATAAGTAACTAACTTAAATTCAAGAAGAATGTTTATTAATTATCTTATACAGTAAAATTCTGTTAAAAGAAATTCAAAACAAAACAAAATAACAATCAACTTGACTATAATCTCTATAGTTCATCAATGTTATCTATTATACTGATGACTATAAATATTATCAAATGAATAGGTCATTAAACTGTGTTAAGGTATGATTTACAATTCAATCATATAAATAGAATAAAACATTCAACTTCCTCTTGACATAATTCAGGTATTAAAAAGACAAAAAAAAACGATACAAATGATCAAAATTAAAGATTTTAGTGTAACACGCATATTACAGGATATTTAAATAATAAATAAAACTTTTTTTCAAATGACCTCTTAATCAGTTTGTATATGAAATCCATTAATATTTCATTAGTTCATTTACTTTATACATTTAATATTTAATAATATTTAAATCTAATTTCAATGTTTGTTTGTTTTATTAGAAAACATTCAGTGTGTAAGAAAAGAGCGGGTAAATAAAAAAAATTTTAAAAAAATAAAAAAAACAATCAAAATTCAAGATTATTAATCTGATGTCTCTAATTGAACTTTTTAAACAAAATATAAATTACTTTGAAAGTGAGAAGTTGATAAAAAAAATAAGAAAAAAAGAAAAAAAGAGAGAAAAGAATATGTTAACTTCCGATTTATTATGTATGTCATTCTTTTTTTCTATTTTTTCATTTGTATAATTTTTGTTGTCTATATATTTTGAGGTATTTATTTATTTATAAAAAATAGAATTAAAAAATATATATATAAATCTGTCTTGAGTGCTATCAGACGCTTTTAGAGGACCGATGCATGTATATGCTTGGTCTTACGTTGTAACTAACTGACTGACTGACTGATAGATCTGTCCAGGTAACACATTGAAAATATTTGAGAAAGTAGTTTTATTTTTGTAAGTTTTTTTTTGAATTACTATTTTTGTTTCGAATCCTGCGAGCGGGATGGTGGATGAGCACTGCTGAGAAATCCCACAATAGGACGAAACGGTGGTTCAGTGCTTCCAGGTTTTCAATTTGTGGTCTAACATTAATCGGTTCATGATCTCAAACAAAAACTTAACAATCTCCACAACCCTTAAACTGATATTTCTATTTTATTTTATTCTTTTTATTTATTTAAAGAGAAAAAGAAAAGGAAGTTATAAAAATATACGACGAATTAGTTTCACTTGTCGGAAATTTTTCTTTATTATTTATTTTATAGATTAAAGATTGATGTCAACGGTTTATTACGTACTTGAAATGGATTGTATTCTTTAAAAAATTATTTTTTACGATGTTGTGTAACATTGATTTATTACGAAAATAGGAAAAATAAATCAATTTGACACTCTTTACATCATTTGAAAAGGTTAATTGATTGATCAGTCTTAATAAATACAACGCTGAATCTATATCTATATCTATATAAGTTTATCAAATTAAGCAGAATGAAAGCTGATGGACGTAATTCCAGATTTTATTACTAAAATATAGTGTGGATGTAAGTTACAGATTTATTCCTAAGCGAATATTAATGAAAAATGAATCTTATTATAGAAAATAACATAAATATTTTGCAGAAATATAATACATAGTTAACTTAACAACATGATATTAGGAAAATATGAAAGAAGACCTATCCCTGAATATGTGAAAGTAATTAGAACATTGAACTTAGGTTGATTGTTATTAATGTTCAAATATCAAAATGTATGAATAAATACATTTTAAATAATCACAAGACAGGAATATACAAATGAATCTAAAATATTCTCATTTATTTAAGTATGGGTAGCTTTCTTCATAAAACTTCTAAGCCTCCTTCCTTTAGAAAATGAAGTCAGTGAGAAGGAATGTTAATATGTTATTCAAAATTTTATTATGATATCCTCTTAACTATTGACGTTAATAAACCCCTTTAATTGAATGTAGTGAAACACTATGGTGAAGTGAAATTTTCAACATTTACATGATCAATATTTGAATCTTTGAATCTCGTTTATGTTAAATGAATGATCCTTTTCAAATTAATCTCCGTAAATATGATAAGTAATTACACACATAAATATTATTTGATGTATGGCTTTAACTTCTGTTAGTAACTTAGTGATTACAAAAACATTTTTTTTTGAAAATAATGAAAACTCGATTATAATTTCGATGAAATTACTAAAATTACTGATAGGAAGATGATCTATATAAGTTATGAATATTACCCGAAAAATAGTTAGCATATTCTATATGTAGACTCTAAATAATTGAACAATTAATCAAACGTAACAATGAAAGTCAAAAGTAATTTTGAATAATGAAAACTACACAAATGGCTAATACGATGTTTATGATTGTATTAAAAATTTTGTTCTTAGAATTCATAGTCACCAGTACAAGATGAAGTTTTATTTATTACAGTTACGAACAGAATTTGGCACAAAAATCGAGTATAACCAAAATGATGTTCACTCCAAATAGTACATTCAAAATGAGATGAGATATTTATCAGGTTTATTGTTGATATCTGTCACTGATAGACAAAATTTTTTTAACTAACACCATTTTGCCGAGTAAGTTTATTATATCTTTCTCTAGAGGTTAAACATGTATGAAACCGAAGATCCTTGGTTCAATCACCGCGCGCGTGGTGATCGATCCATACTGCCATAGTAGTGTCCCATAAAACGGTAAGACAGGCATCCAATGCTTACAAATTTTCAGTCATGGTTTATAACAGACCGGATCATGATTTTAGTCAGACTCAACAATCACCACAACCCTATATTCAATATTATACTATTCTATTGAAGTCACCTCATTATTATTGTTATTATTTAACATCCTACCTTTTCAACTTCAAAATCCGATACCATGTGATTAATTTTTATTTAGTAATAAACTATTCTATGATTTAGTTAAATTTAAAAATAATAAAAGTCTACACCTTAAAAGCATTACCATTTCACTAATTTAGTCTTTTTTTTCTCTCATTTTGAAATAAGTTTCATATTGTAATATAAAAAAACAGACAAAGGGTATTATGTTAACGTTTTCCAGTTATATGGAGACATTTTAATGAATATAAATTCATTTTTTACTCAGTTACATATATTTTTTTTTCCAAGTAAAAATAAAAGAAAATTTAAGACTTCAATTTCTCATGATCGAATAAAACAGAGTGAAAATATATGGTTGTTGATTAAGTTAACTCCACCTGGAGTCCCTCTGGGAGATTCTGCCAGTCCCAAGCCCAAATAAAGGAGGAGGGTTGAACATGGGGTTAGCGACCCCATCCCGCAGAAAACCAACTCGCTAAAAAAACGCTCACCAGAAAAAAATTATTAGAACCTTTTAAACTCTACCCTGGGAGTCAGAAGGTCTTCATTTAGAAGAACTATGCTGCCTCATGATGAAAGCCGAGTTCCTTCGGAAGTCACGAGGCCAATGCACCTTCTGACAACCAGAGCAACCATTTATTTAGGTACATGGGATGCTCGTACAATGTGGGAGACCGGGAGAGTCTTCCAAACTGCTGCAGAAATGAGGGGTTGATTAAGTTAGTCTCTTACTTTACAAGAATACACAAAAGTACATCAAAGTCAGAATTTTCGATACCAATGTCATGATAGTTCTATTATATGGGGCAGAAACTTGGAGAACTACGAAATCAATCATCCAAAAGATATAAGTGTTTATTATTAGTTGTCTACATTAAATACTTCAGATCCGTTGGCCAGACACTATCAGCAACAACCTACTATGGGAGAGAACAAACCACATTCCAGCAGAGGAAGAAATCAGGAAAAAGCGCTGGAAGTGGATAGAACATACACTGAGGAAAGCACCCAACTGAGTCACAAGGTAAGCCCTCACCTAGAACCCTCAAGGCTAAAGGAGAAGAGAACGACCAAAGTATACATTCCGTCGAGAAATGAAAACAGACATGAGAAGAATGAACAACAATTGAGTAGAACTAGAAAGGAAGGCCCAGGACACAGTGAGTTGGAGAATGTTGATCGGCGGTCTATGCTCCATAGAGAGTAACAAGCGTGAGTAAGTAAGTACGTAAATATTCTGTTAAGACATTATGTGTCAAGCTTTTTCCTGGTAATTTTTTCTCCAGTCATTAGACTCTTTAGTAGAATTGTTTTAGATAAAACCTTATATATTATATAGAGTTTAGAATTTATAAACATGCATTAATACATTTGCATCAAATGTCTGGGTAACAGCATAACAATTTACTTTATTATTGTGTCCTATACAACATTAGATTGTGATGTATATTTAGGACACAATTTCCTAGCCTTTCTAATATCCTTTCATTAGAAACATCATTTCTATTGTCAAATGTCTATAACTGACTGCAAAAACATTTGGTTATGTATAATGTTACATTTAAGTGCTGGTACATCATCGGCATTGAGTACAAAATAAGAAAAATTAGAATGTTTGCAACTTTTGTACTTAATTAATGGTGAACAGATCTGGTTATCACTATACATGCTATTCATATGTTTTTAATTATCTGAATATTGGATATATTATTACCTGAATAAGTAATCATGATCTTAGGAATGCTCACCTAGGAATAGCATGAAAAATTTCTTTAAAAAATTATTGCTTTTTGAATAGTATATCAATGAATTGAATAATCAAACAAACTAATCACTGTAATTATTATGATTTCATTATATAACATTTATTTAATTCTACTTACCAACAAATGTAATACGTTTATCGGTTGTTTGAATAGGAATTTCATTTTTTAACCAAACGACTGTAGGCTGTGGATGACCAGATACTTCACAATCCATTCTGGCCACATCACCAACAGATGCAGAACTAGCTTTTGGTGGTACATGTATAATTGGATAACCATCAGGTATACCTACAATAATCATAAATATATGAAATTAATTTCAATTAAAATAAAGTTTCATAAATGTTTCCTTGTTTAAAATGCTTTGATAAATTATAAATGGTTCATTGAAAAATAGTAAGAGATTAAGTTAGAAATTGTTTAGAAATTTCAAATACTACAAACAGGATACGTAAACTTCTAAAGATGAATAAAAGTTACCATCTTTAATTATTTAAATAATCGTGAAGTTGTTTCTGTAAATTTATAAGATTTATTCATAAATTCCAAAGTAGCATTCTCTCAGTGAAGTTATTAAGTCATCAATAATAAATATATATTTATGGTTTAGGAGTATTATTTAGTGAGCAGCCGGGCAGTATTACAGCCCACACACAAATCAAGTGACATATAAAACATATGTAGTTGGTACTCTTTTGTATCAATATTTATGTGTTCAAACAAATAAATAAATAATCTATATCACTTGTTGAAATCATGAGTCAATTGAAGCTACACCACCATGGAAAACCTGGAAGCACTGAACAGTCGTCTCGTCTTATTGTGGGACTCCTCAGCAGTGCGCATCCACGACCCCGCCTCGCGGGATTCGAACCCATAACTCATCAGTCTCGTGCTCGAGCGCTTAACCACTAGACCACTGATCTGGCTGGCATCAAACGGTGTTAATGTCTAACTTTAAATAATCCACGAAATTTAGTGACAAATCTATCATTAACAACAATGAGTTACTATCTCCATGGTGGCCTAGCTTCAATTGACTCATGATATCAACTGTAAGAACTTATTGTCAAACTGTACAATCATACATATATTAAATCTTTTTGTTAAAGTACTAATTCCGTGAGGAAATGTGAACACAAATAAGCAAGATGACTTAATAGAGAGCTAATAACACTAGATTACGTAATACGAATAATAACAATGGACTTAGATTTAGTGAATGCAATAAGATGATTAAAATGTTTTTATTACAATAACTAATGGTCATAGAGGTGTAAAAATAAATAAGATGATATGATGAGCATTTACAAATAAAATAATGAAAACATAAGACACAAGTAAAGAGGAATGCAGTAATAATAATAAGATTAATTAAGGTCAAGGTAACGATAATGGTAGGATATACTTCGTCTGTATGCATAGTTCTGGCTTGATCTCCTGGATGGTAAGAGCTTCGGCTATTTTTACAAGTTGAATACGAAGAAATCTAGGTAGATTTGAACGAATCAGGTATGCAACCTTAAAGTCAAACCGTGAATCCATAGAATGATTACAGTTGATTAGGTGTTCAAGAATAGAATTCCTAACTGCTTCCATCTAAACCTTGTAGAACCAAACTGAGATGTGTTCTAGTATCCATATATTTAGGATCGTACAGCTTGATAATAAATTCGTTGAAAAGCGATCCCTTCGCTGAAATTCGTGTCTTTTGATTTTTGATGTTTTAATGGGAACTATCTGTCAATAAACATCAGTTACTTTACCAAACTATTTTATACAATCATACATGATCTGGTCAATTAATTAAATATTTCACATGGATAAGCGTGTTCTCACAGTGAACCGTCTAGATTTTCTTGTAAAAACAAAAACAGTCTTATCTAACACGCTCACACATATAAATATGTTCATAGAATTTAGTCTTCATCAAGAGATTTTCTAACATCAATATAAATAATTTTCATCATTTACGTTTATCATTATTATGTTTGATTTTTCTTAACTTAATAGATAAATTGATTTAAATAAAATTATATACAATGATGAATAATGACTAGCAGTAGAATTCAAAACGCGCGTTTCGTCCTATTTTGGTACTCATCAGCTGAATGTACCTACATCTCAGAATTGATGTTCACTCCTAAATGTAGGTACATTCAACTAACGAGTCTGAAATAGTACGAAATTTGCGTCCTAGATCCCACTGCTAGCCATCATCCATCTTTGCTTATAGCACTTGTAATCTAAAATAGACAATATCAGGTGAATCTATACTGAATTATTTTACACATATCGATTACACAGTACCAAACATCATAATTGTATTTTTAGATGATATACTTGTGGAGCTTATTAGGTTTTTGATTGAGATCATGAGGAGTCCCACAATAGAACGAAACGGACGTCCACTGCTTCCAGATTTTCAATGGTGATCTAACATCAATCGGTTCATGATCTGAATCAAAATATACTTTAAGTTTCATTATTATTATTATCATTACTGATTCATTTCCGTGATTTATTCTGAAAAAAAGGAATTATGAAACGAGTACAAATCAATAATACCATATTATCACTACTTGTTCATATGACTTAACGTTAAATAAAAGGGACCTGATCTTTGTGATAACGTTTCCTCTTTCACCATCTGTCAGTGTTTTTATATATTTTTTTTAGAAAAAAAACCCGAAAAGAATTAAGAATAATAATAATATGGCTGAATACTTTGATTTTAATGATTATGAAAAATAAAAATTACATTTGTAGTACATTCGAAAGTACTTTTTTCATATATACACTTAATTGTAACGATTATAATTAACTGATTTAAATTATTACTCTATTTATTCAATATTCAAAAAAGAAATATAATAAATTTCAATAGTTGAGATTATGAGTCAGTTGGAGTTAGACCACCATGGAAAACCTGGAAGCACTGGACAGCCGTTTCATCCTATTATGGGACTCCTCAGCAGTGCACATTCACGACCCCGCCTCTCGAGATTCGAACCCAGGACCTGGCAGTCTCGTGCCAGGCGCTTAACTAACTAGACCACTGAGCCGGATGCGCACTGCTGAGGAGTCCCACAATAGGACGAAACGGCTGTCCAGTGCTTTCAAACTTTCTATGGTGTTCTAGCTTCAACTGTCTCGTGATCTCAACTATTGAAATTGCTACAGTCTCCACAACAATAAACTTAGTTATTTGACTTTTAAAATTATTTTCATTTACAAATTATATCTGTAATCACTAAAGTTTTCAGGGAAATTTCACCGTTTATTAAATGCTGCATTATATATATATAATGAGTTTGTAATTAGTATAATTTTGGCAAAAAGAAAATAAGAGTAAAATGATCAGTTTTGAGGCAATTATTACCAAACTTTCTACCATTCAAATCAATTATTATTCTGAAATTAGGTAGGATATTGGATTTCAAAGAGAAGAGTTAATAAAACAAGGTATTGATTTAAAACATTTAATGTAAGAAATGATATGTTTATTTATTTATTACACTTACTTACTTACTGACTTACTGACTGACTTACGCCAGTTACTCCTCATGGAGGAGCATAGGCCGCTCAACTCTGTCTTGGGTAATTTATAACACAGTAAAATTAATTGATCTTTTGTTATTTACAACAATAGATATGTTTAGACTTTGAGTAGAAAGGTGAAAAACATATATCTCATTGTTTTGTTTTTTCTCACTTTTTTTAAACAAAAATAGCAGTATTGTGTAGAATAAAAGTGTTTTAATGTGATTTATTGACAATAAATTAACCATTATGAAAACTCAATTATTTAGTGTAATAACATTAAAGCAATTGAAAGTTCTCTATGTGTTTGAAAAATGATTTATGGTTTACATATAAAATATACATGTGCTTAATCAAATTTAGTTTTGAATGAAAGAATTTCGTAGCAATGAAATTCATTCTGAACTTAATGAAATCTAATGTTGTAAAATTACATCACATCACTGCTCTAGAATTGAAAGATCTATTTTTCATATCGTCGTTATGTATTCTTATCAATGAAAACACTCAGTAACTGAGCATTTTTATTAGGAAAGTTCGTTAATTTAGAAAAATCTCAGGTGAGTAGTCATTGGAAGTTTAAAAATTTCTTTAAAACGTTCGGAACCATGACGCTTGATCGATTATCTTGACATTTTGCTTTACTATTAGTTTCTCTTATAGGGTGTTGTTCTGATTGTTGAATGTCACAGTTGGTGTTTATCACAGATTTTAGATAGAAAGCGAGTGAAACCCAGGAGTCAATAGACAGCTATTTCGTTCTATTATGGGAATCTCGGGCACTGAGCATCTATGAATTTGGCAGGGGTTGAATGTAGAGCCCTAACCTTTGGATCGCTGATCCGGCACGCGATGACTTACATTGCTAGGTTCAACCAATTAGCTATATTGAGAATTACCATGCTATAAAAAAATAACACTCAGGTGCTCCTTGTTTTTTACAACAACGACCAGTCACTGACAGACTACTTTTTTCAATATCAATAATACCATTTTTGTGGATGTGTAAATTTTTATTTCTTTTGTTAGTGAAATAAAACGACTTCTAAAGCAAATAAAAAATATTATTTAAAAATATCACAAAAAGACTTCTGTTAGAGATCCATTAAATCAACCCTTATTTCTTCTTTGTCTTCGCTCATTAATGTCTACTGGGGTTATGGAGAATAAAGATAGCGAATAATGTCAGTTCCAGAAGACATAACACGCCTTTAAACATAAAATCTTCAAACTGGAATGATATCAATGTATATTAACCGAATGGGATTTTTAATATGATGAAAAGATCGATCACAATCTGAAATCAGGTTTGAAAAGATTGTATGATATAAAATATATCAATTAGCATGATGATATATTCTAACAACAGAGATATGTTGAATCTCACAGAAAATCCCACACTTCTATGAAAATGCTGTGTTCAAACAATGGAAATGAGAATGTAGCATGTGAAAAGTCTACTTCTGATTAGATGTCTTACATCTGATATATCTGCAATGTATTATACTAAATTTGTTTGCTGACTTCTAGCTAATATTCAGAAACTAGTTAAAACAAAGTATATGTTCTAAAAAGCTGTACATACTTAGAAAAGTTCAATCAAGTCACAACAACAGCTGATAGATATTCAAAATATGGACCTTTGGAATTTAACTCAGTGATTTAAAGGTAACATTGAGATCTCGAAATCTGAAGTTTTGGGTTTCATTTGCCAGCAAGATGGAGATTGAGCACAGCCAGTGTCCTAACCTGGGATAAAATGTTTGCCCATTGATTAATAGCCTGCATTGAGTCTTCCTTTGACAATAGTTTATCATGAAAACTCTCATTCCATTGAATAAACATGTGACTATAATCCTTCTTATTACGTTTTAAGGCAACTTGGTGAGACTACAATGTAAGGGCGACCTTTGAGCGACAATAAAGTCACCTTGAGAATGTCCACCTAACAACTAGGACTAAATAAAGATTATGAAACAGTGGTAGGAATCACAATTATAATTTGTAATTAATGATTAGTGAAAAGAATTAGATGTACAGTTTTCATCACAAACTGACATCAACTAAAATGTCAAAATTCTATTTATCCAAATGAATGAATCAATTTTTGAGCCAAAATCGATGACCTGTTATGTTATACCTGATTGATTCATCTATAAATCATTGTCTCGCTAGTAAATTTTTAACTGAATATAACGTATATTAAATGGCACCAGCGAAAATAATAGTTAGGGTTGTTTTCAAATGTCAGTCAATTTTCAAAATGAATTGTCATAATCTTCCCAAAGATTATTTGTGGTATTTTTATCGAAGTCTGATGGTAAGCTACAGAGAATAATTTATTATGTATCAGTAATAAAAGTAGAAAGAAAAGGATTATGTGTTCAAGGATAAAAAACTAAATGAAAGCAGGTTAAGGTTTTCATTAACTTCACTTACGATCATTAGTATCATAAACTGTTAAATAAGCTGACGCACTATCACCTCCAACATGATTACGTGTTATACATTGAACTTGTAATCCATTTTGTCCTCGATGTACTTTAGTTAAACGCAATAAACTCCCATCTGGAATATTCAAAACGCCACCTACACCAGGTGCTGGTCGGCTTACTTGACGATCAAGAAGAAAATTTACTGTGGGAGTTGGATTTCCATTTACTCGACAGAAGAATAGAGCAGTTTCACCGCTAATTACTTTTACATTACTTGGAGGTTCGATTATTTTTGCCGGACCTGAAATGTATAAACATAAATATGATAAATTATAAAAATGTCAAGATAAACGTAAATTTCTTATAAATAAACAAAATTATCAGATAAGTTGTGTAATCATCACTCAAATATGATTGAATCACTGAGATTATACATCAGTTAAATAGTGAATGTCTGTCGCATCAATTTTAGATTATTCATAAATTATAATGAATAACAAAATCACTGAGATCTTTTGTTAAATTAGTTCTGTCGAATTTGATCGACTTGTTAATATTTACCAATGTAACATCGAAAGAATCTGTCTAAAGTGTTATGTTCTCAGAGATGAATAGAAAAAACAGTTCTTTCATAATATTGGTCCTAAGCTACAAGTAATCTCCGTCATCACACATAAATACTTGATTTTAATTTTTACGCTGCCAAAAATTCGGACAATATAACATTTAAGTTATCTGTCTATTTGTTGACTAGAATACTTTGCAAAATATAAAGAAATATGTAAAAATTATTAAACTGTTTGTCTGTATTGGTAAAACTGTTTTACTCTTGATAAGGTTTAATGATTGTAACTTGTAGTTTATACTAGAAATCCCTTTAAAGTTGAGATACTGTAAAAGAAGAGAACGTGGTAAATAATATAAAATAATCTGAAAGGATAATTATGGTAATGTTGTGCCTTGACCAAAAAGATATTCTTTCTGATTGATCATTACGTAATACTCAGTTTATTGGAACATGCGATCATTATCTGTACACACCATAACATTCAGTAGATGTATCCGTAATACATAAGGAGGTTATACCATTTCAAGTCCTCAAACATTAAGAATGAAAAATCATAAATGTTTTGTAATAAGTTTCGTATTCTTTTGACTTTGTATTTATCTAAATCTCAATTCACTAAAATGTAGAATATATACAACGAAAAATTGAAAATATCATTATGGAGTTGTGAAGATTATTAAGTTCTTGGTTGAGATCATGAACCGATTGATGTTAGACCACCATTGAAAACCTGGAAAAACTGGACGGCCGTTCCGTTCTATTATGGGAATCCTCAGCAGTGCGTATCAACCCTAGATCTTCGGCCTCGCTCGCGAACGCTTAATCTCTAGGCCACGGAGCCGGTGTTCAACGGTGTTAATGTCTAACTTCAACCGATTCACGAAATTGTGAGACCATCTTCTGTTGTACTGATGTAGATACCTGTCTCTGCCGGACACAGATTAGCTCCACTGGTCACGGCTTCTCTAATGCGAGACCAAAGGCCCTGGGTTCGAATCTCGCAAGCGGGATCGCGAGTGTGCATTGCTGAGGAGTCTTAAAGTAAGACGAAACGGCCATCTAGTGCTTCCAGGTTCTCAATAGTGGTCTAACATCAATCAGTTCATGATCTCAATGAAAATCGAAAATGATTAATTTCCCAGGGTGATCATTAGAAAATATGTCACTGTGGTTTATGTATAGTGATTCACTTAATTTTCGGTAAAGTTTCATACATCCTTGATTCAAATTAGTATGACTTAAACGGTTACTAGTTATATCAACCACATACTAACTGAGTATTGAAACATTATTATTCATAATTACAACGAAGATAATGTGCTTAATAAATAATATATTTGTAATATCCTAATGAGTAGAAAAATTAAATTTTCTGACGTTTTGTGACTTAGTGTAAGCCACTTCTTCAGAGAATATTTTTCTACTCATCAGGATATTACAAATACATTAATTTATTTATAACAATCTATCCAATGTTCAATTTATTCGAAATTATCAATTTGCTTAATAACCTGTATCATTTCAAATACAGACGTTTTTCAGTTTTCATGTCAACATTTCTTGTTGTTGAGATACATATCGTAAAGCAAGAACTCAGTTTCACGAATATAACATTGTCATGTGATATTCATTGACAGTCAACTAATTTTCAGACAGGAATTAATTCATATATATATACAAGGAAAAGGATAATGAAATTTGCGTTGTAATTATGGTGAAGAACTATGTTCTCTGAAATAAATTATACTAGAAAACTGACTCCTTTTTTAACTTTATCTTAGCTAACTAATATTTCTATAACATTCTATTATTTATTCAATATTTTGAAAATAGTCGCCAATAAGTATGTATCTTTTAAACATGTACACAATGTTACTGTAAGTTAATTTGCCAATTAAAACTTATATCATTGAAAAATTTCAACAACAATCCAAAAAAAATTAGAATTCAAGTGTGAATGAAACATTTTTGGTCAATTATTTTCTAATGTTAATAAAATTACAACGATAAATATTGTTGTAACTCAGAGATTACGCAGGACAATATAGAGATCTTTTAACGCCGGAGAACTACGATCAGTGTTTTCTACCCGTCCAATAGTGACACTGAGGTTAAAAGAAGAATTACCTAGAATAACCACATCATTTAGTATTTATCATTTCAAATGCTCCCGTGAAGCGAGCTATATTGGTTGAAGTTTTAGGCATTTACATTTTCGTGCTCACGAACACCTCCCAGTGTAGATAAGCAAAGGTTTGGTGAAGAAAGTGAACGGCTGGATATTGGCCCATTTAGTACAAACTGGTCATACTGCCACTATAAACCAATCTTTTTCAATTATTTATAAGGTCAGTAAATTTTGCCGAAACATGTCAGACTCAAAAGTCCTTCAAACGACTAAAGCAGTAGCCATCCGGATGAAGAAACCGGAGCTATATGTTCAGAAGAAATATCTTCAACCACTCCCCCTCCCCTGGCCAACCTCAAGGCCAACTAATCAATGGTAATCTTAACTATTGAATGACCTAATTTGACTGCTGTACTTACGACATTTCGTAGTCAAACGTAATATGCTCTGTTATATTTATTGTATTCTTTGCATTATTATTATTATTACTATTGGTTAAACATCATTATTAATCTCTCCAACACATGATTCATTCACTTCGCATTCATCCCTCCTTATTACGTCTGACTAATCTTTCACACAATTTAGTCTTCCACTAAACATTTGACTGAATGATAATTGTATCATTATTTCTCTTACCAGATCTGATCCATATTTATTCGGATCATGGATCTTAAATTTCACCTTACGTATATGCAGATTCAAGTTAACATTCTATATGTCATATGAACATTACCAATTTTATTGTATTTTGTTTGACAACCCTAAATTCACATGGTTTAAATGATTCACTTTACCCTTAACCTGATAATTTTTTGGATTATTAATTTGGATGTATAACTGTATAATCTGATGAGAATTTCTTTGAAAGGAATATTTTTCGTTCAAATATTAGTCTTTTAGTAATGATGGGAGTTAGAATGAGTATAATGATTTCAATATTTCTTTGTTAATTAATTAGGTGTTCGGTTTATTAGCAAGGTATGCCAAAAAAAATCTAATATTAATCTAGGCTTTATGTATAATATAGCTAAACTATTTCATTTCTTTTTGAAAAGGCTTTTTTGTAAAGTTATTTATTGGCGAGACTATAATTTATGAACGAACCAATCAGATATAAGAAAATAGGTCATTGATTTTGGCTCAAAAATTGATTCATTCATTTGGATAAATAGAATTTTGACATTTTAGTTGATGTCAGTTTGTGATGAAAACTGTACATCTAATTCTTTTCACTAATCATTACTTATAAATTATAATTGTGATTCCTACCACTGTTTCATAATCTTTATTTGGTCCTAGTTATTAGGTGGACATTCTCAAGGTGACTTTATTGTTGCTCAAAAATTGTCCTTAACTTATAATCTTACCTGTTTATTCATTCATATAGATTTATATAAAATAAATCTTAGTTAAGTTATTAATTATTGTACATTCCAAATCATCATTTAACGTTATATGAATTGAATTAACAAGAGTATTTCTTTTTATTTCTTTTTAGACGATTAAGATATGAGCCTAGTTGATAGTCAGTAGTGTAGATATAATATAAATATTTTATTTCTTTATAAAGTTTAATAGATCAGGATAACCACATAAGTTCGTTAAAGTATGGATATTTAACAAGATGTAATATATATTTTTTGTTTAAATCACAAAGATTCTAGTCGGCGTATTCAATCTATGTATGCATGTTGGGATGGCTATTGAGAAATACGACGGAGCATCCAGAGGCCTAAGAAGAGTTAAAGAGTTCCATCCAATGAGAATGAAATTGAGTTTTCTAGAATATTAACATGGCATGATACTATTGGTCTGTAACATAATATGCCTATCTGCGGATTATTTGAATTATAATGTTGATTTAACAAATGCTAATATCTATAAATACCTATGGTTTTCTGTACAATTTGATTCTTGCTTAACAAGCACTTTCTTCATTCTTCTTCTGTCTTTTTATTTGCAAATTGAAGGGTTCTAACGTTCAATTACTCAAGTTATACATGGTACATTAAGAATCTAAGCTCTGAATAGAATAATACATTTTAAAAAAAATTCGTAAACATTCTCATTTGTATTTTATAAATGTAATGCTTATATGTGTACACTATTATTATCATCATCATATTGTGGTATGTTTATACAGATTTCTGAAAATTATGTATAAAATCATAGAATCAAAATATATATCAAAAACATAGTTTTATTCATCATTCACTTTTTCACTCTCCTTTAATTAATTAACTTTTTAATTCTTTCTTTGCTTTTTTTATTTCAATATTAATGATTTTAGACAGGATAATAAATTTCTTGATTGAAATTGACTATAGAAACTAACAAAACAATAGCACTAGATGTGTACGTACATAAATATAGTGGATATTTATGGTTTAAGCATGGATTGATTCACTAAATGATTTTAAAAATACAATGGAAAATAATAAATTGACGTAAGTAGGTAGGGAAGAGTAAGCAGGAGGAGGAGGAGGAGTTTATTCCATACAGTAAATTTAACATTGAGGAGAAATTCAATTTTGTGTTTTGTTTTTTTCGAACTATTTTTTTTCTCTTTTATGAAGTAAATAGTTACTTATCGTAATATCAT